CTATATTATTTCCTGTAAAGGCAGGGCAAATGCCCTTTAATTACCGATTTTCAGGTTAATGATTTGTTGTAATTGTCACCTCCATTGATGGCAAGTGAATGTATTTCCCTTCATTCATTCATTTATTTATTTGTATTCCTCTGGACTCATGGTTTTTTACAGTTCTGTATTTTACAGTCTTTTGTTTATTTACATTCATTCAGTGAATTATCCATTCATTCATTTATTGAAGTTTCTCAAATTGTCCTAAAATTGGTACCTGGAAGCCCCTCCAAATTTGTGCCCGTGTTCCTTTGTCTCAGGCCCATAATTCTTTGATTGCTTTCTTGCTATTCTGGTTGTATCCTGTTGGTACAGGATGACCCAGTTTCACCTATTTCCCTTCCTCAGACCTGGAATTGGCTATGTCTTCAAAGAACCCTTATTCATAATTAGAAACCAAGATCTGGGTACTAGGAGTGCCCATTGCTCCTACTGTATCATGAGTTTATATTGATAATTCAAGTTCAGATTTCACATTTCATATTTTTTCCTCTTTTGATTTTATGTTTGTAAATTAGTGTGAAAACTTGCATTCATAAATGAAAACAAAGTTATTTGAAATATTGAAAAATTTCAAACCCACAGAAAAGTTGGAAAAAACCTGTCACATATCCTTCACTTATTCACCCTTTGTTAACATTTTGCCATAACCATTCTGTCTCTCTCTCTGTACACACACACACTTTCCTTTTGTAATTATATGAGGGTAGACTGCAGACATTATTTTACTTTACTTCTAAGTATGTCAGCGTCATTACCACCCCTAAGAAAACCATTCATTCAATAGTATCATTGATTTGCAATCCATACACAGATTTTCCTAATTGTCGCAGATGTCCTTGTAAATTTTTCCTGGCCTCTTATCTAGCTTCCAGTAAAGGTTCACACACTGCATTTGGGTATTGTGTCTCTGGTTTCCAACAATCTATGTCCTTCCAGTGGTCTAGGTTTTTTTCTCATGACAGCAAATCTTTGGAAGAAGGTGGGCCAGTTGTCTTGTAGAACAGCTCCATATTCTGAGTTCATCTGTTTTTCCCTGTAATTAAGTTCATCTGGGACACCTCACAGGTGATGTGTTCATTCCACTTCATCAGATCAGGGGGCACGTATTATTGATGACAGGCTTATAACCACTGGTGTCTCCGGTATAAATGCACATAGTCCCTTTGTAATGAATACAATTAATAAATAGTCTGTAGGGTGATACTTTGAGACAGTGTATCATGTTCCCCAATAGCTTTTAACCCAGGACATTTAGTATATGTTGATGATCCTTTCCTAAACCAGTAATTACATTGGGAATAACAAAATGGGATTTTCTAATTTTGTCATTCTGTCCTTGTTTGTCAACCAGCATTCTGACCTTTCTCTTTCTCTTTTAATGGAATCATAGATATTTTAAAAAATTCAGTAGTAATAATTTATTATTACTTTTATTATTTTTGATGTCCCAGTTGTCTCAAATGTGGCCAGTGGGAATTCCTTCAAACTGGCTTCTGTGTTCTTTTGAAATGACCAATTAGTCTTTGAGCACTGTTAGATGTTCTAGGCTCACTGCATACTTTCTCTGCTTCAGACCTGGAACCAGCCATTTCCTGAGGAGCTCCAGTTCTTTATATTGGTAACTGATATTTAGAAACCAAAATCTAGATTCTGGGTACACTCTTTGCTACTTATAAGTCATTGCTTATAAGATATTTTAATGGGAAAAGGTAGTACATATATTTAAAGATTATGAGTTCATATTGATAGGTGAAATTTAAGTTGTGTTACTTCTTTTTTTCTTAAACTCTGTTTTCATATTTGTATCTTTCCTCTTAGGATGAAGATTTCCATTAATTTCAATTTATTAAAATTAGCAACTGTTTAGTTCACTTAATATGTGAGGTTCTAAAATCTGGGGAAATGAGTGAAATACAGTCTCTGAGTGTCCATAATTTGGTTTACTGGGTAAGAAAGATAAATATGTATGAGTACAGTAATTATAATATGTTGCGATATAGATTAGATGTGCCAACACTGCTGCAGGAGCTTTTAGAGAGATTTATTATGACTAAGGGATGGAAAAAATCTTTACAGATTTTGGGACAGGTAGGATTTCTACAGGGGAAGACTGGGGAGTAAGTACATTTTTGATGGAAGAGCAGATCACCAAATCAGCAGAATGGGGGAATAAGGTAGAAGGAAAATAATGTTCTATTTATGTCTAATACTCGTTGTTTTCTTTATGTAACTTTTCCCTCCCTCTTTACCTTTGCACTTGTGTCAGCCCTCTTCCCCCCAATCTAGAATTCCCTCCCTCATTTTCATCGTACCAGCTGCCTTAAGATCCCTGAAAAAACTTATTTTGAGTTGTGCTTGCTTTCTTTTTCCTGTCTCCAGCTTTGTTAAGGGAGTAATCACTATTGTTAGTGTGCCTTACTGTGGCTTCCAGATCCTTTCACTCATTACAGAAATTGTTGCTTCTATTCTGCCAATGACTTGGAAATCATTCAATCTGTTAGGTTTTAGTGTAAGGTAAGAGTAAGTGAACCCAGCATGAGGGCCTGTGTGGTCTTCCAGTGAGATGAATGCTCAGGCTCTGGTGTATGTATGTATTTTGGGCATGTGGAACTCTACTTAAGCCTTTCAGCTGAGTGGAGCTTTTTATCTGCTGAATTGACTTCTGCATATGCTATCAAAAGGTGCCAAGTGAATATTAATTAGAGAATGAGTGACTCTCCATCTAAAACTAAAATATCTCCAGGATCTCTTGCTTTGTCTTAAAATTAAATAAATTAAGAATGTCTTTTTATTTTTTCTCCAGAGCTTCAGTGAAGATGTTTTCCAGTCTGTAAAGTCTTTATTGCAGAGTGAGAAGGAACTATGTAGTATATCAGCAGAGGACTATTTAAAGCAGGATGAACATACCAATTTAACTGAGGTTTGACATATTACTTTCTAAACCCTTTCCTAATAAAACACAATGTATTTTTATGCATCTTTGTGGGACTGCATAACCTATTTTTAAAATATCTAAGATTTCTATGTATTATTATGTGAAATAGAAGTACCTGTTCTAAATACTGGCTAATATAATTGTCTTAATGTATTATAGTTCAATTATAATGTATTATAATTCAACTATTTAATTTACTTAATTTAATCATTTAATTTAAGCACATTTAATTCAGTGCATAGGCATTATTGGCCACTCATTGGACATATGATACTACGTTAGATGATTCCTATCATATTCAATGATTGGTACTTTAATACTAAATTTTTCTACTCTGAACATAAAATATATGCTTGTTTCTTATATTCACTTTTTGGGCTATTGTTAGTTTTTTTGATGTTTAAATTCAAAAATGAAAAAGTAGAGATGAATTTATCTTTGCAATGAAGGTATTTATTCTGTTATTTGAGGATAAGATATACAATTTGCTCACCTCATCCAGTGTTTTCAATCTTTGTTTGAATCTATTACTATAAAAAGGAGTACGTTTTTTTCTATAATATTTCCATAGTCCATCATCATATTACCAAATCAGAGATGTGGTGTTAGGTCATTACAGCTTAAAACTGATGAATATGTCAAGTTAAAACTTTTCTTTTGAAGGGAGGGGGTCTAATAAAAATCTTGATTATTCTTATTTTAGGGAATGATTTTTTTCACATTCCTTGGGAAATTCTCTGTCTGACGTATTTCATAGGGAGATGGGCCTGCCTTTCAGGCTTGTAGTGTTTTGCCACTTGTGGCTCTTCTTTTTGTCAGCATAATTTCTGTGGCTCTTGGCTTTTATTTTCTTTACCATTCTTTTCTTTATTTAGTGAAACAGGGCCACTCTTAGTCTACTCAGTTGTTGGCAAGTGTGACAAGTCTCCTGTGTCCTTCTGCCCTCCAACAGTTTTCCAGCCTGTATCTCTCCAGCTGCTTATGTGGTACCTTTCCAAGCCCACATTCCTTGGCGAAGCCTTCCTTGATCAGTGGGAAACAAAACTCCCCTGGCATCTTCAAAATCAGCTTTTTTTTCTTCTGTGTTCAGTAAAGGAAACTTGAAAGAGTAGGAGGAATTTTTGTCCCACTTTAAGGCTGTGCATATCTCTAAGTATCTTTTCAAAGAAAGGAAGGGAATTTGTTACTTGATTATCTATTTGTTATTGAGTGCCTGTGACATGCTAGGTACTTTCCCGTGCATTATCTAATTAACTCTCACAACTCTGGGAGGGGAGTTGTATTGCCTGAAGTTTTATAGAGGAAGGGTCAGTTTTCTAGATGTTAACAATTTATCTAGATGCCTGGAAATTAACTGTAACACTTCTACGAAGTAATAAGCATAATTAATTAGAGTAAAGATTGCAGGGTAATTTAAGATTCTGACTTGGCTTCCGAATCATCAGAAAGAGATCAAAAGTATATTCAGTATTGCTTTATATTTTAACTATGCTCTTTTTCCATAATTCTTGAGAACTGATCATCCATATTGCTATCATTTTAAGTATTATATATTTTTAGCCACAGTACTTGCTTAGTTGTTCATTATTCTATCTTCAAATGGAAAAAATTTCTTAATATGATGCCATAGACATAAAGAGAATATAAATTTTAAAAATCACACTTTTTCTCAGGTTTTAAAACTAGTACATATTCTTTGTAGAAAAGTAAATACTGAAAGTATAAAAAAAGGAAATGACTACCATTGAATTGGGCAAGAAAAAGCATAGGGGAAAAAAGAGTAGAAAAAAATAAGATCACCTACCTACAACAGCGTCATCCTGAGTTAATTATTGCTTATAGTTTGGTGTATTGCCTTCCAGTATTATTTTCCATGCATGTTTTTAAAAATAATGTTGAAATTATGTGTATACTGTATATCATTTTTCTGTAACTTGTCCTTTTTATTTAATAATGTTACATTTCCTTATGCCATTAGATAGTTTTTAGAAATTTAGTTTATATAAACTTCTACAGAGTAATCTCTATATAAGAGTGTTGAAGGAAATAAATGATGGCTTCACAGAGAGTGAAGAAGTATTCCTAGGGGTCTACCCAGAGATGACCTCTCCGAGGAGGTGATCTTTGAGTTGAAACTTGAAGAATGAGGAAGAGACAGGCATGTAAACATCTAAGGAAGAAACACCCAGATCAAGGGACACAATCACAAAGCCCTCAGGCAAAAACATACAGTGTGAGGGTACTTCAAAAAGTTCTATTTTTTGTGGAAAATAGAATTAAAAGAGTGCAGGAGGCTGGCTGGTTAGCTCAGCTGGTTAGAATACTGATTTGTAACACTAAGGTCAAGGATTTGGATCCCCCGACCGGCCAGCCTGCCCCCTGCCAAAAAAAAAAAAAAAAAAAAAAAAAAGAATAACAGGAATCTTTCCATGAACTTTTTGATGTACCTGCGTACAGGGCACGTTCCAGACCCAGAAAGGGGCCCATGTGTATGAATGAGAATGAGGGAAGGCTGAAGGCATCAGCTAACTCCAGTTAGGAGTTTTCCCTGGGAAGTATGGAAGAGTTTTGACAGGGAAATGTCACAATGAGGGGACCAGGTGAGAGAGACTGTAGTAGTGCAGGGAAGAAGGGGTGGCAGGGGGATGTATTTGAAATATGTTTTGGGGGTAGAATTGATTGAACTTGCTAGTTAAGGATATGTGAATGAGGTTTAAGAACTGCAATTTGGAGCTAAGTCTTTGGTGAAAAATCTTTTTGATCATCTTTGAAAAAAGTGTCCTCTCCAAGGCAGTCAGCATTTTAGTGCTTTATGTGTTTTTTCCTTTTTCTCAGCTCTGTCAACAATCTAAGATTTAAAAACTCAAATTAATGGAGCTTTTATTCCTTTTTATTCAGGTCACATTTCTGGGTTTTAATGAAGAAACAGATGCTGCTCATACACAGGTATGGTCAACTTATTGCACTGGAAAGTACCATGAGAGATTATTCTGAACAAATTTTGAGAGCATGAAATATTTGCTTTAATGCCCAAAGTTTATATTAAACTCTTCTGATATCTTCCTTTTAGAGTTAAAAGGTGATATTTTGAGGTCAACTTTTAAGTGCATTTTGGACATTTTTCCTGAGTATTCCTGTTACAGAAAGCAGCTTTAGGTTTGACCACAAAAGTCATTTATCTGAGGAGGTTGCAAATCACAGGTTGACTTTTCTTCCATTCTGTGCATAATATAGAATGTAAGACTTTTTTGTTTATTTTGATGGTTTTCATAATTTGACTTCAGCAGTAAAATTCTTATAGTTTTAGTTGAGATGGAGTTAAGTTTAAAAGATAAAGTTTATAAAATTTTTGCAATTAGCCAATGCAAAAATTTTAGCCTGTTTGATGTAGGCAGTATTACAGAGGGACTGATATTTGTGATTAGGATCAACAGAGGAAAACTTGGCAGTTATGTAAAGAATTGATGAAGTCTGTATAGATGTATGTATGTGTTAGGCATACATTTTTCCTCCCTCATGCTGCATCTTAAAAATTTGTGATTGCTACATGTTTTCTTTGGTGGCAGTAAAGCATCTCCTAATAGAGGAAAAAAATAACATAATTCAGTTCTTTCTGAATAATACATATCAGGTGATTATGAACGAAAACTCTGCTATATGTTTTGATTGTGTTCTTAGGAAATAGTTTGGACAGAAGGAACAAGAGACATATTCCTGAGAATATATGGCTGGAGAGAGAAATGTTTCAGTGTTTCTCTAATATTCTTCCTTTAAGAGTTAGTGATAAAAACATGTTTATAAACGGAAGTACTCTATAATGGGTTAAAGACTTTAATAATTCTTTAGGTAAAATATTTATGTAAAAAGGGCAAACAGGAAGAAAAATAAAAGCTATTTTCTTCTCCTTTCATCTTAATAAAATTTTCAGTTAAGGTCTAATACAGTACCTTGGAGAGAGGAAAGTCAGAAAAATGGACTTGTATTTTACAAAGTTAAACTTAAGGGCCAGTCCGTGGCTCACTCAGGAGAGTGTGGCGCTGGTAGCGCCGAGGCCGCGGGTTCGGATCCTATATAGGGATGGCGGGTGTGCTCACTGGCTGAGCGTGGTGCAGACCACACGTGCCTAGGGTTGCGATCCCCTCACGGGTCAGGGAAAAAAAACAAAAAAACTTAAGCTCTTAGTAAGTACATTCTATAGCCAAGAATCCTGCATGAAAAATTCCAGAGTTAATTAAACCTGAGGGGGACTGTAGGGTGTTGGGTGCTAAAAACTATTAAATGCTAATTGTCATGGGTATGTGAGATATTGTGTATTTTTTTTTTTATAGCTTGATATGTTTGAAATGCTATAGAAATAGCCAGTATTGAATTTTAGGACATTTTAGGACATTTTAGTACATTTTATTTTTGAGTTCTTAAAAATTTTATTATCTGTGGATAATAAACTGTATATGTTAATTGTTATGAACCAGAACATTTATTATCCAGTAGACCTTATGATTTTTGGATAGGGCCCACAATATAGGAATCTTAACAAAAGTGTTATTCTGCAGTGTTATTTATTATTATTATTATTTTAAATTAGGATTTGGCTGCAGTTTCTTTGGAGCTTCCAGATCTTCTGAATTCACTTCACTTCTGCAGTTTAAATGAAAATGAAATTATTTGTATGAAGGATATAAATAAATCATCAGATAGAAGCAATGTTCCTCTAAATCAGGTAACTTTTATACATGCTTTCTAATGAGTTTCTTAGGTCAAATTTTACTACATTTGAACATGAATGTTAAACTTTTAAATGCTTGAATGAAGTTTCTTTTTTGTATTTTTTAATGCTATTTCAAGGAAATATGATTTATAAGGAATCTAACTTATGAAACATTGTCATCCCTGAAGTATAGAACAATTTTTGTCATAGCTTATATATTAGATTTTCCATTTGTGAAGTTTCATAAATGGAATGCAAATACATATTAATTTTTTTTCTGAATATTCATTATTTCTGGATTTATTGAACTTCTTCCACCTTTGTATAAGCCATGAGGACTTTTCCTCTTTGCAGTCAATTACAATTTATGTAAATATTGTGCTATATGTACTTCAACTCATTTTCTGTTTAAAAAAAAAAATTCTATGTAAAGTGGACATTTGATGTGTTCTTTATTTATAAACAAAAATGTTACCATTTCAAACGGTGGTTATTTTATAATATTCAGGTTTTAATTCTTTACCAAGTATGATTTTGTTGATAATTTTTTTGAATAAATCATTGAAGAAAAATGCTTTGCGGGCCGGCCTGGTGGCGCACTGCTACAGTGCGCCGCTTGTGAGTGCGGTGGTGCTCCCGCCGAGGGTTTGGATCCCACATGCAGACCGGTTCCCGCTCACTGGCTGAGCGAGGTGTGGGAGCAACACCGAGGGTTGCGATCCCGTTGCCGGTCCCGGTCCGGTACAGGCGCGACACTGAGGGTTGCGATCCGTTGCCGGACACGAAAAAAGACAAAAAAAAAAGAAAAATGCTTTGCATTTTAGGAGCTAAATCATACACAATTGTTTAAAATTTGGATTACTTCAGGTATGAAAAACTGCTGTGTTCTTTATGAGATCAGTCAGTAAAAGTAGAACTGCTTGCCTCATTTCCTTAATTGTATTCTTCATTTGTATTTACTTTGCCTTATTTGCTAGGATATAAGATTAGCTATTATATTTGGTGCCTAGTTTTTTGAATAAATCATTCGTCCACGCTTGCATTTTCTTTATTTTTTTTGGTCCTTTTTTGAGACCGGCTGCACCACGCTCAGCCAGTGAGCGCACCAACCATCCCTATATAGGATCAGAACCTGCGGTGGGAGCCCCAGCGCCGCACTCTCCTGAGTGCACCATGGGCTTGGCCCAACACGCTTGTATTTTCTTAGATAATACGTGGGGGGAAGTCTGGTGACTTGTATTCATAATCAGAGCTGTAAATATTATTGTAATTTGTAGTAATAAGGAAACTTAAGTAAAAGGAGGGGATGATTCTTTTATTGTGATAGGAGAGAAGGAGGTAGCGTGCTGGAAGCTACTGGAAAATGGGATAAAAAAATAAAATTTGTTCCTGCCATCAAGTAGTTTACCATGTAGTTGGTGAGATAGGTGAATGATTAAAAAAGGAAAATCACAGAGCTGTACAATAATCAAGGAAAGCATAATTGCCCAAAGGAATAGGTAGATAGTAATTTCTGTAACATTTAAGAAGAATAGGCAAGATAGAATTTGAATACCTTGGTAAGAGAAAGATAGGAGAAAAAGAGACTAGGAAGTGAAAAATGTAAAGAAAGGAAAACCAGAAAGCCTTTCAGGATGCATGCATTTCTTATTTTCTTTTGTTTGAAATTTTTTTGTTTTTTTCTCTGCGATTGTCTTATTTGTAGGCTTTGCTTCCAGATATTTTATATGTGAAATTAAAAATTGTTTTTATCATCTCATCTTTTCCAAGCGTCGTCATTCTGGAATGCTCTGTGTCATGAGAGTGTCACCTACATTACCAAGACTCAGAATTGATTTTATCTTTAGTCTTCTGAGTAAATATGCCACTGGTATAAGATACACCCTGGACACGTACTTCCATCAGAAGGGCCAACTTGAGACCACTAATGAAGATGATGATGATACTAACCAGTCTGTGTCTTCCATAGAGGATGACTTTGTCACTGCTTTTGAGCACTTAGAGGAAGAAGAGACTTCAAAGCCATATAATGATGGTTTGTTTTTTATTAGACTTTTTCTTGAAATAAGGGATTAAAGTTTAAAGTTCAGTTTTGACAGTTTTAAAGCAGACTTGTTTAATTGAAATTTATGTTGAAACTTGATCCAATTTAAACATTTTAACCTTTTTTTCTGATTGCATGAGGAATTAATTTCCTTGTGATTTTTAAGTTTATTATTATCTGGTTTTCAATTTTGCTATTTCTGTTCTTATTTAGGTAGTATTGTTCAAGCACTGTTTACCCCATTACTGTAAATGTGTGTGGAACATGCTTAAGTTCAAATTTCAGAAGAGTTAGCTGGCAGAGTTACTGCAGTAGTGTTTTTAACATGCGTGACAGCATGCTAAATGTTGCATAGACCAAGTATCCCAGGACATAGGGTAAAATGAAGTTATTTTAGTGAAGGTGTTACTTGGGGTGAATCATTCTGTTAACTAACATAGGGTAGAAGACACTTATGTTACAAATAAATATTTCATGCTTAAAGTCAATTTATTCCATTGATTTAAATTAATTTTTAAAAAGTTCTGTTCAAGAATAATTTAGTCATTTTATTCTTCTTTTCTGTAGGAATAAACATTACTGCACTAAAGAGCCAGTGTGATGCTGCTTCTCAGACTATTTCTGGTCACCAGTTAGAAACCCATGATTTAAGGATTCTGGTTAGCTCTGGACAGCAAAAGTCATTGGCTAAACCCTCAACTTCCTTAATAAATGTTCCGGGACATAAAGAACTGCCTTCTGTGAAAACTTCGGTCACAACATCAACTTCAGAGCCTTGGATCCAAAGGAGTTTCTATAGGTCATCTAATACTTCAGATAAGGGTAGTGAAATACAGAAAACCGTTTTTTCTTCTTCTCCAGCCTACTCATCTGAATCAGAATGCTCAAGTCCAAGTCCTGTTATTTTTTTGGATGAAGAGGGATATCAAAAAAGTTTGAAAGCAAAACTTGAGCTGCCTAAAATTCCTGTGATGAAAGATGATATAGAGGATTCAGATTCAGAAGTAAGTGAATTTTTTGATAGTTTTGATCAGTTTGATGAACTAGAGCAAACTTTAGAGACTTCTTGTCTCTTTATGAAGGATCCTGTCGTAGGGAAGTCATTGCAAAAGAAAGGGCACAAACATGGAAAAGCTTGTATGAATCCTCAAAAATTCAAGTTCAGTCGTCCAGCTCTCCCAGCTAATGTTAGAAAGCCAACTCCTCGTAAACCAGAATCTCCTTATGGTAACCTGCGTGATGCTCCAGATTCTCCTCGCCCAGTCAAGGCCTCAGGGGAAGACAGTGGTTTGTTTAGCCCTATTCGATCTTCTGCTTTTAGTCCTCTTGGAGTCTGTACTCCTGCTGAATGTTTTTGCCAAACAGATAATAATGGAAATAGGATTCATAAAAATCATGATTCTATTTATTACACCTATGAAGATTATGCAAATAGCATTTCATATGAAGTACTAGGTTCAGTTCTTCATACCCAGCATATTAATGCCACATCAAACATTAATAGTATTAAGACTGGAGAAAATAAAACTGTAGGTCTTAAGCACGGGGACCTTGATCAAAAAAGTAAATCTAAAAATAAATCCTTAATGATTAAAGATAGCATTCAGAAATTTGCAGCAGATCTTGTGGAAAAAAGTTTTGGCAGTGCATTTAAAGACTTACAGAAAGGAGTCTCTTCATGCACAAATGCACTGTGCCACTTAGCTGTCAAATTGACATCATCTGTTTTTCAGATGGCATTTAATGAACTGAAAAGGCAGCGTGCATTTTCACTGAAAGAACGTGCCATTGGTGGCCTGGCTAATTTTTTGGTGAGTGAAGCTTTATCAAATGCCTTAAAAGATTTACAGTATGTAAAGAAGCAGATATTTAAAAACACAGTTGCTACATTTGCTGCAGATCTTGCTGAAGAACTTGTTTTTGAAGGCATCATGGAAGTGTGTCAGTTTTCATATCCTCCAACACCTGCATCTCCACGGGGTTGGTCATTTGACTTCGAAGACAAAGTAGTGACGTCATATGCAAAAGATTTGTCTGAATCTGTAATACAGGAAGCATTCATTGAGCTATCGCAAGTTGATGTGACCTTCACAACAAAGGCAGCAGTTAGTGTCTCCACTGATAATGTCAAATATGTAAATGCAGAAAGTGTAGTGCCATGGACACAGACATTTACATTTTCCCCTTCTTTTCACAATCAAGCAATTATGGTGACAAAACCAATGCAGGAATATAGAAAGGAATACACAGTACAGCAGGCCTTGTTTTGTACTTCTGGAATTGTAACTTCTATACCAGTGCCCTTGGCCGGAAGTGCCCTTCTCCCATATCATATTTCATCTGTACATCAGGCAAAATCTCATCTATCATCCGTTGATAGTAATTCAAATGGCGATTCTGCCCAAGCACATGTTACCACAAAAATCAAAGAAGAGGAAATAGCTTGTCTCACAAATATTTGTTTACCTTCAGAACACAATCCAGGTAACCAGAGTGATTTTAAACCAACTAAAGATGTTATTGAAATGAAAAGTTCTTCAAAATTAACAAATGATCCTGTGATTATTAACAACTTTTCTGCAGCAATGGTGCATACAATTGTGAACGAAACTTTGGAATCAGTGACATCATTTGAAGTTACAAAAACAGTTGGTGAACACAGAGATTGTTTAACTAAAACTGTAAGTGGAAAAAACCCTCCTTTTTCCCACCGTGATCAAATAACACTGCAACAGAGTGAAGCTAGTAATAAGGACATGTTTGCTGACCGATTATCGAAATCTATTATTAAACATTCCATAGATAAAAGCAAATCAGTGTTCGTAAATACAGATAAAAATGCCGCATATAAGGAAGTCTTGCCTGTTCCTGGAGAAGAATCACAGATCACCTTGGAAAAGTTCCCCAAATTTCTCAGTGCTCAAGATCACTTAACTCACTGTTCACCTTCAGTTGGAAAGGATTGTGTTCTTCCAGAATGTAAAGGTTTTATGGCTCATGGATTTTCTTTAGAGACACTACCACCTTGTCCAGCTGTGGCAGACCAGAAACCTGATTTGAAGGAACTTGCTAAGGATAAACCAGTGAAAAAGCATAATTTGAATAATACAGCACTTGAGCCCTTGTCTTTTGGACAGGAAAGCCCCTTTCCTCATTCACATACTTTCTCATCTGCAGTGCTTACCTGTGTAGACGGTTTGCATGTGGAAGATAAACAGAAAATCAGAGACAGAAATGTAATACCTGATACTCCTCCGTCAACTCCTCTAGTACCATCCCAGGCTAGTTCTGAATGGGATATCAAGAAGTTATCCAAAAAGCTCAAAGGGGAATTAGCCAAAGAATTTGCTCCTGCTACACCACCTTCTACACCTCACAACTCATCTGTTGGTAGTTTGTCTGAAAATGATCAAAGTACTATAGAAAAAGAAGAGTTCATGCTGAAACTCATGCGATCTCTTTCAGAAGAAGTTGAAAGTAGCGAAGGTGAAGAGCATCCAGAAGTGGATGTGAAGTCAGATTACTCAGGGAAGAAAGTTCAGTTTGCGGAAGCGTTAGCTACACATGTCATTTCTCTTGCAACCGAAATGGCAGCTTCCCATTTAGATAATAAAACAGTTCAAGAACCCAAGGTTAAAGGCCCTTGCTTAAATGTGCAAAGTCAAAGAAGTGTATCACCTACTTTTTTAAATTGCTCAGATAAAAGTTTACAGACATTATGCAATTTTGCAGGTGAGATGGCAGCAGAAGTTGTTACAGAAGCTGAGAAAATAGCAGAAGTTAAAAGTTGTGTGCTTTTCAGGCAAAAGAACAGTTATGTTGATGTTGACCGAGATTATAGATCAAAAGAGAAGCTGGATATAGAGGTTGTAGCCCACCCAAGGGAAGTGGATCCATTTAGTCTTTCATTACCACCAAGTTCTTATATTTCAGGTCTGACATATAAGTATCCCAGCTGTGAAAGTGTGACAGACGAATATGCAGGTCACATTATCCAAATACTAAAACAGGAAAGTGGTAATAGCGAGTTAATAATGGATCAGTATGCCAATAGGCTTGCTTATCGATCTGTTAAGTCAGGATTACAAGAAGTAGCTAAGACAGCTGAAATGAAGTGTAACTCAGGAATGTTCCCTGTGCAGAGTTCACAGGAGAAAACAAGCAATGAACTGTTAATGTTCTCAAATAAAGAGCACCACCAAGAAGTAGATAAAAGAAGACAAAGAAATGGAGGTTACCCTTGTAAAAATCAAATTTGTGAAAGGACACAGGATATATTTAGAAATGAGTGCTCTGAACTATATAGTTTTTCAACCTCTCTTGCTCACAGCATAGCAAGAGATGCAAAAAAAGAGCTGACAGCATCTACATTTGTCTTGCCAAAATCCTTAACAGATTCTTGCCTTTATGAAAAGTCTGGATGTGATGACGATACTGAGTGTCACACTGAACCAGAATTTTCTAAGTCTTTTCAGCCTTCCTCGCAAAATCACAGGTTTTACCACAGTATAGGCAGCTTAAGTGGACATGTGTATGGAGAGAATGTTGTTCAAGCTATAGAAGAATATGCAAAAAAAGTAGTGGATGACACCTTAGAGCTAACTTTAGGATCCACAGTTTTGCAATTGTCTGAGACCACAAAATCAGCGGATAAGATCACTTATGCAGAAAAATTGTCACCTCTTATAAGTCAAGCTTGCAGATATTGTGACCTTAAAGAACTCAATGATTGTGGTGGAAACTCATCGCAGCACTTTTTCAGACAGGATTCACTTGTTAGTAGTAAGCCAGATTCTAATTCAAAATTTAGAAATATCTATCAGAAGTCTAGAATTTTTCATCTTGATGTTCCACAAATTCATATTAACCTTGATAAGAAGTCGGTGCTTGCTGAAAAGATAGTTGCTGAAGCTATTGAAAAAGCAGAGAGAGAGCTGAGCAATACCAGTTTGGCTGCCGATAGTGGAATTGGACAAGATGGCATTAGCTTTGCTGAAAGCCTTACGACAGAAATAATGACATCAGCCATAACAAATGTTGGACATGCTGTTAGCAGGTAAGTTTCAAATTTCCTTTTGGTGTTATGATAAAATGAAAAGTTAAACTCAATCATATGTTTCTTGGGACCTGTTCAGAAAGGTATGATTATCTTTAACCCTAAATTAGCAAAAACTTCCCTATTGCATTTGTATTTTCATATTCCACACATGACTTTCATATATTTTGTCTCTTGATCCCTTTTGAGGGAAGATATTCTCCATTTACAGAGGTGGAAGATGAGGGTTAAAGAAGATAATCACCTTGTCCAAGTTCACAGAGCTGTGAAGTAGGTAAAGTTGAATGTAGGAAACAGCTGGAGAATTTTATACAGCCAGTATAGACTATTACTGTATTAATTTACTACTCTAAAAATTTAATTTTCAAAGAGTGTTTTCTTTGTTCACAAAGGTAAGTTGTCTTATAAAGAGCATGATTTAATCAAACTGTTCTTAGGAAGAAAGCAAAAATTCTCCAAATACTTCCACTGCTGCCACCACTTCTCTTGACTGGCTCACAGTCTAAGGGGACAATTCTTTCTGATAGTCTTCCAGTGTCCTGTTCTTCAGTAGCTGTCTCTTCTGCTTAGATTCTAACACCTTGGTTAAAATGTTCACTTTTAACCCTTTCTTTCTGAGAAAACATCAAGATCAACCTCTATTATTAGTTTCTAGGGTTATATTGGTTAAGTTCCCACCAGAAAGAGAAAATGCTTCATGTTGAGGTTGAATGTAATTGAGTCACATGATATCCCAGGTTTTTTAGTAGCCTTTGTCAAAGCCATGACAAAGACTGCTTTTCTTAGCCATCTTAAAATAGGGAGGTGCAGATTGTCCCGAACTCTTGAGTCTAGTTGTTTCATAGCATCCTCTAGAGATGAGTGATGCTGTAGGTTCTGGTGAAGTAGAGGTGGTCTGTATTTGCCTTAATCAGGCAGCCTTCTTTCTCCTAGACCATGGGTTGGCAAACTGTAGTCTGTGGGCCACATGTGGCCTACTGCTTGTTTTTGTATAGACTGCAAGGTAAGAATAGTTTTTATGTTTTTTTTAATGGTTGAAAAAAATCAGAAGAAGAGTACTATTTTGTGACGTTTGAAAATTATATGAAACTCACATTTCAGTGTTCATAAACAAAGGTTTTTTGGAACACAACCATGCTCATTTATTTACATATTGCCTATGGCTGCTTTTGGTCTATAATGGCAAAGTTAAATAGTTGCACCAGAGACCATATGGCCAGCAAAGCTTAAGTATTTACTAATATTTTTATTTTACTAATACTTTCTGCCTTTTACAGAAAAAGTTTTCAAACCTCTGTCCTAGATCCACATTTTGTTTGTTCATGACTACATATTAGTTTCTAGTATGGTATTAGACACAGAATATGTGGTTAATAAATATTCAAATGTGTAAGTGTTAGTAAGCTAGGCTTTCTTAAAATTGAAGCAGCTTTCCTCCTACAAGTGGCCTCAGGCTATTTTAATTTTCCCTCCTCCTCACCCCCTCCCAATACATCCCATCCCATCCCATCCCAGCCTCATGGGAAGAAGAAATTCTTCTCTACATTAAAGTTTCTAAGACATCACTCCCAGGGCCTAGCTAAATGCCTTTGCTATTGATTCCTCAGTATTTTTACTTTTCCTTCTTAGGGTTGGGAGTAGATATGCCCTTGGAGTTTTTCCTATAAGCCAGTGCTGTCCAATTCCAACTTTTTGTCAAGGCTTGTAGAATGTTACTTTATAGTTCTTGTTTCTCTTTTCTTAGTAATTGTGCTAGGGTTCAGTAAGTGCTGACTATTAAAAATTGTCTCTAGTGTGTCCAGTTTACTGTTCCACATTTTCTGTTTCTAAGGTTAAAATCGTTTGTCTTTGAAGCGAGATTCATTCAAATGGGTTACTTTTTTTAAGGTGTTACTTGGATTATTTCACTAGTGTCCTTTTCTTGTCAATGCTTGGTTAATGAAAGTAACCATTAAAATTTACAAAGCTGTAATGTACAGAGGGGTGGTGAATGTCAAATGGGAAGTTATATGATAATGCATTTTTAGAAGAGCAAAACATCTCAGCTATATTCTCAGCTATCATTTCTGAACCAAAATAATGTAGCAATGATTAAAAATTCTTCTCCAGACCTCCTCCTGTGGGCCATTTTGGCCAGAAACCATAAGAATGTGGTATGTATCAGGAAAAATGTTCAGAAAGAAATAGTGTTCTATTGTGGTTTATAAGGAGAATTTTATAAGGAGAGCTAGTGAGCAGGGCAGCTCTCTTGCTTATTCCATTTTCGCCCTTTCATACCCTGGTTTCCACGGGACCTTGTGAAGAGTTTCCACCCAGAAGAAGGCCTTTACCAGATGCTCCCAGTGGTCTGTAGACTTCCCAGTCTCCAACACTGTAAGAAATAAATTTCATTTCTTTATAAGTTACCCAGTTTCAGGTATTGTTATAAGCAACAGAAAATGGACTAATAATACATTGCCTTTATCATGAAATTGATAATCTTATAAATTCAGAATCTGTGATGCTTTCAGTTGTATTTTTTTCCTTTTTTCCTTTTTTAGCTCAAAAGAAATAGAAGACTTTCAGTCAACTGAGTCTTTTGGTAGCCAGCAGATGAATCTCAGTATTGGTGAAGACAGCACTGGGAGCTGGTCCAACTTAAGTTTTGAGGATGAACACCAAGATGAAAGCAGCAGTTTTCATCATCTAAGTGAAAGGTAATGAAAATTTTGCATGTAATTGTGTAGTTTAGGTCCACACGCCTCAGAATTGAGCTCTAAATGTGTATTGAGTAGTATTTTAAAATTCTAAGTTAGAAAATCTGCCAGTTTCAAAATGTATTTTATTATTATTCACAGTATGTTTCTAATGGTTTTTGATATGTTAGGAATGCCTTTAGAGGCAAAAATATAAGAAACAATTGCATATAAAATTGCATAAAATCTTTATCCACATTAACTGATAATTAGAAATAATAAATGCCGTCCATAGCTGAGTCTAGGGAGAGGAAAGGGTTTTCAGCATACTTCCAGTTTCAGGGATATGTGGCAAGGACCCTGGGACTTTAGTTGAAGAGTGCCCTTGGAATTGGCTTACCAGAAGGAGAAGAGAAGAAGGCTTGGAGGAGGGGATGAGGTAGCATAAGAAAAGGAAATGGCATTTTGCCCGTTGGAATACTTTATTTACTTCAGAGTATTTTGTTTGCTGCTTGGATTAACCAGTAAGCATTAATATTTTTATAAAGTATCTATTTCGTCATAGTTTCTTATAATGCTATGTAAATCACCTATGTTTCTTATAATGCTATGTAAATCACCAATATTTCTTAAAATCTAGATCCAAAAAGGCAGTCTTTGAAACTGGTAGAAGCAAGTGGGCCAATGTCACAAATCATAGTTTGGCCCTTTCCCATAACTTTATCGGGAATAGAATATTAACATTTAATATTAATTTCTTCTCTCATCTTTGAGAAACACACCTTTCTAGGACATTTTTGCTTAGGAAATCCTGGGGCTAAAATGGGAGAACAATGGGTAGAGGCTAGTGTCATTAAGAGGACTTCTAGCCAGTTGAACAACTCTATGTAGAATGTTCTTTAATTTGATAAGAGAGCGGAGTCTACCAGGCCTTATGCTTGGTTCTGTCCTCTTCAGCATTATTTTATTACTGATGTAGAATACTCGTTTGTGGATGACTGAAAACAAGGCAGAAAAGATAATCCTGTTAACAGAACCAAGGTTCAAAAAGACAGAATCAGGATGAGGCTAAAATAATTCTGTTTGACATGGGTAAATGCATTTAGGTTCAGAAAATCAATTATTTGAATTCAGGTTGGGAGCAAAGCTTGGCTTGATAGCATTTTTTTCAGAAAAAGACCTGTGTTTCAATTGACCGCAGTCTTAATATGAACTAATCATGCTGTGTGGTATTAAGGTTCAGACACAAAGGAAAAGATAGTGGAGCTCATCCAGGATTGGTGGTGTGCTTGTTGCTCATAGATTCCAGAGCCTCACCTACAGAGATTAAGATTCATTAGGTCAGTGGAGGGTCCCGAGAATCTGTATGCTTGATAAGTACTTTGGATGATTTCAGTGCAGGTGGTTTGGAGGCCACATTTGAAAATCTATTGCTTTACATGTTCCATCTTTTGATGACATTTGCTCTTTTCTGGTATAGAGATCAACGCAGGTGATTTGGAAACACCTTGTACTTTCACACTAAGTAGGAAGTTCAGTAGAGGCAACAATTAAAAAAGAAACAATAATTTCAGATTTTTCCAAGTGTTTAGGAGGATTATATATAATGAGTTGATCAGAAAGACAACTGGTCTGTGTATGTGAATATCTTAAATATTTCAGGTGGTTTGTGACCCTTTTAGAAGTTATGTATTAGATTAGGTAAGACATAGGGCTAGACTTACAGAATTTTTGAGATAATTTTTGTAGGATGTGTCAGAATTGATAGCAGTCTTCATATGGCCGAAAGCCACAGTAAGGAATTCTGGTACTTAACCACACTGGTTTGATGGTGTAAGTATGCCTGTTCTAGACATAGGAAATGTGAAAAGACATAAAAGAAAATGATGGAAGCAGGACAGTGTTTTAAGAATGAGATGTGAAGACTATTAAGTGGAGAAATTAAGTATGTTAATGTTAGGTTAATGTAGGGTGCTCATACGTCCCAGTTTACTTGGGATAGTCCTCATTTACTTCTGCTGTTCAGGTATAGTTACTAATGATGATGACTTCCATTTTCAAATGTGTCCTGGTTAGATGAAAAATTGTATGGCCACACTAGTTAGAAGTGGTATTTTAGGGGCCGGCCCTGTGGCTCATTCGGGAGAGTGAGGCGCTGGTAGCGCCGAGGCTGCGGGTTCGGATCCTATATAAGGATGGCCGGTGCGCTCACTGGCTGAGTGTGGTGCAGACCACCCCGTGCTGAGGGTTACGATCCCCTTACTGGTCAAAAAAAAAAAAAAAGAAGTGGTATTTTAGAGGCCGGCCCTGTGGCTCATTCGGGAGAGTGCGGCGCTGGTAGCGCCGAGGCTGCGGGTTCGGATCCTATATAAGGATGGCCGGTGCGCTCACTGGCTGAGTGTGGTGCAGACCACACCGTGCTGAGGGTTACGATCCCCTTACTGGTCAAAAAAAAAAAAAAAAAGAAGTGGTATTTTATAAATAACTGACTTCAAATCTGACCCATTTTGAAGGAAGATGAGGTTAGAAAAAGGGAGTTTGAATATTTAACATTATTTAGCTCTTGTTTCTTTCCATGTTCATCTAAGACTTGGTAATGGATTTTTATTAGTAATTAAATGGAGGAGTCATTGTTATTAGCATATGCCTAAGAATTTTAATTTTGTAATTTTCTATTTGTTTAGATAATCATTCTATTAATAGTAAATACAGTGTTTGAGATCATTTTCTCTTTCTCTTTGGCTTCCAGTTCTCTGTCTATTCTGTATTTCTATATTTTCTCATTTTTAGTTTGACAGCAGACTACATGGGCAAAATTCTGGTTGTTTTAATGGTTTTATAATAAAGCGATTTTTGTTTGGACATCTTGAAAAGACATACTGAGTTTTAACTTTTATTCTCTAGTACATTATGGTTTGTGACAACTTGATAGTGTTAAAGTGAATATGGATATGTAAATTATTTGAGATTGCTTGGAAACTATTTAGAACTTTAAATCTTTTTTTTTGATAACATTGTCAACATTTACTGATGAAGATAAGATGATTTTCATTTAATTAATACTTTTAGAACCAAAATTTGGTTTGAGTAAATACTAATTTTTGTAATTGTCTAGCCTAATATTTGGGAAATATTGCGCTTATCACTGCAAACTAATGTGCTTACTAATTATTTTAATAATTAGGAATGATTAGAATTTTAAAAAATTGCATGTTGAAGGTTTTAATCTGAAAAACTGAATTTAATTTTATTTCTGACCATGGTTGCTGTTTTAAAAAATTGCTTTGCTGCAGTTTTAGAATATAGTTGCTTTCTTCTTTTGATTAGGTAACATAAGAAGTTATCTGTGTGCGGCATTAGTGACTGGCTGACCAGACAAGTGTAATGCTTAAGCCTTGGTTATACTAGCTTTATTCTGAAGAAATTGTATGTTATTTGCCACCTACTGAATTATATATAATATATGAAATGAAGGTAATTGACATAATGAGAGTATTTTAAAATCAGAAAATACCTTTTCTCCAAGTAGTTAGAAAAGGTATGTTTGGGACTGTATTTTGGTGCCTTCTATCCTATTTCCCCGCCATGCCCTCCATCCAAGCCTATCACTGTTTTGCATTATTTAATGACCTGAGAGAATGTTAACCTATGTTTATTCTTTTTAAACTTTATCCAAACTGAAGAGTATTGGCTTTTTACAAATTATATCCCAAGATTTTCCATAAGATAGTAATTTCATTGTGAAACTTCTTCATGCATTCATTTGCTATCCTAAAAGTCATTCTGTTGTCTTAATCTGTACAATAAATGTAAGTTTAGAATAATTTTCATGACCTGCTGAGGAGAAAGAAAAAGCTCCTAAATCTCAGAACCTTTCAAGTGCTTTTTGAGTAGGTAGCAGCTTTGGTCTTTCTTCGCCTCCGTGGATGCTCCACTCCATGTGGCAGCTTCAGAACATCCACAGTTATCAAGGACAGAAGCTGTTCCGAGGAAAACAATGTTCTTTACTATTCATTTTCTAGTTCAGCTCTGTTCTTTTCTTCCTCTGGCAGTAATGGTAACAGCAGTAGCTGGAGCAGTCTTGGTTTAGAAGGGGATTTGTATGAGGACAATTTATCCTTTCCAACATCAGACAGGTTGGTCCAGTCAAGAAACTTAAAAACTGATGAGTCTTTCACCACTAATGCATGATGTCATATTCTTAAAAGAATGTGGGTTACAGTGCCAATATGTATCAACCTGCTTTTCTCCTATATTTTGACATGATTCTGCTTGACAAATTTACATCTAATGAAACAATTCAACTATGCTGAGATATGACTGACATCTAATTGCAAAATATGTTACTGTTATGCATGTGTTGCTCTGCTTGCTATTTTTCATTCTTCCAATTAGTATTTCATTAAAAAGAGCTTGCTTCCTACAGGATTTCTGTTTATTGTTTTGTTTTTTATATGCAGTTTTATTTCATATATATAAGAAAAGTATAGGAAAAATGTGTTTTTACTGTGTTAAAATGTATATGTAAATGGCATCAACAGAAGCATTAATGAATACTTAATTATTCATGGTACTCTATAATATTCAAATGCTGTATTCTCTAAAATCAAATTAGTAGAATATTTTATCTTTAAATTATTTTAAATTAAATTTTATTATGAAATTACTTGGCTCTATATATCATGGTAAGGTAGTACTTCTTGGTTATTGATAACTCTAAGCATAATTTACAATTCAGTTCTTAACATGAAATGATGTGAGAAGCAAAGCTTCCTTTTTATTGTCATTTCTCCCCTTTCTAAATGTCATACGTCATATTATAACATTCATTCCTTATCACATTTTTGAAAATTGGTTTTAATACCATTATTAATTAAGGCTTTTTTTTTTAACTGCTTCTGCTGTTTTATTTGAAAAGTGATGAACCAGATGATGAAGGTGAAGAGCTTGAGGATGATGTGGAAGGTAATTGACAATTTGTTTTTCAAAGTATTTGCATGTTTTTTGGTATAAGTTTCCTTAGAAGAATCTTTACTGTTTGTGTTTGTGTTATTTTCATCAGATAGGCCCTGGGTGATCGATAAAACGTTATATGTCAGGGTATTCTCGTCCTAGATTTCTTTGTCCAGTTCAGGTCCTTTGTTGAGTGGTTTGGATTCTTTGATTGCTGCACTAATGAGTTACTCATTGGTGTAAAGATGGAAATACTTTTTTTTTTTTTTTGTCTTTTTTCCGTGTCCGGCAACGGATCTCAACCCTCAGTGTTGCCCCCGTACCGGACCGGGGACCGGCAACGGGACTGCAGCCCTCGGTGTTGCTCCCGCGCCTCGCTCAGCCAGTGAGCGGGAACCGGTCTG